GGTGTTGACGACATTCCCATCTTCCCCCTCCTCTTCGTCTATCACCTTCCTCTTCGTATGTGTATGGTATGGGCTGGCGCAGTCTTCCTGTGTGAAGCGCCAGGCCCCATTCACAACATGTAACGATGATGATGATGTATGTTCAGGGCTGCATTGCAACATTGATTGTTCGGATCACCGGTATCTAAGTCTTCCGTTGTGCTATCTTATACTTTGTATTGAAAGGTCGGTTCTTGTTCTCGTCTGCACGTTACAGTATGCAACAGCTACTGTTTGTAGAGCTGACGTACGTGCAGTACTTGCAATGGAGGGAGAGCTCCAATGAGAGGAGGTCCAGGATATATCTAAATTTGGACCCTGTCACCCTGACGTAAGGCCTGGGCACGCCCCCGTCGGGGAGTGGCCGTGTCGTGTCCTGCAATTTCGTGGAACTTTCGTCGTCCCTGTTCTGGTTACACTTTTATCGATTGGGTGTGGTCCAGGTTTGAGGTGGAAAGGTGTGCTTTCTTTTTGAGGTAAGTACGTTCATGTCACCTTTGAGTATCGAATGGGCAAAAAAAAATACGCTTCGGCAAAGAGAACCGTGCCGAGTTCGAAAAGGCGAAGGAAGTACCGACGGCCGTGGTGTCAGACCGGGTGTCATATTTACAGGGGTCCGCCATAGTGTCAAAGGGGGAAAACAAAAAAAAGAAAAGAAAATGCCCAACGCATTCTTTTGGACCGAAATCGCTCATTTCCAGTTGGTGCATGGTTTCTTTGCCAATGCGAGTTCTTTTTGCCTTTAGGGTTTCAAAACATGCCGTGGCTGCTATTATATTTTTCTTTTTTCCTTTTCTTTGTTTTGATGGATGGCCCCTATCGATTGTCGGGAGCAGTGCGTGCCGGGAACCTGGTGCATCATCCCGTGAAGCAGAATCCTTGTCACAGAAAAAAAAATCAAAATTGGCAGCGGCATTGATTGTCCCATCCAAAGACAAGGGATTGAATGCCTGTTGAGGGGAAAAAAGAAACGAGGAGTCTCCCACCCCTCACGGTTGCCAAAGGTGTCTTGTATATCTAGCCTGAGACATTAAACCACCCTTACGTTTCCCAACCTTCTTTTTGAGAGTCGTGGCATGCATGCTGACCGGAGTGGTCGGATGTATCTCATGAGCCAGGCTTGGTACCTCCTGGAAACACATACCCTTCGCACTAAGTCACAATTTGGGGTGCAAGGGAAGATCTTGGTTGAACAGTGTTGGAGGGGTCCAATCTTGATTCCCTACATAACCTAGTACTAAGTGTTTTTTAGTGTTTGTCCATGAAAATTGGCAATTTTTTTAAGAGACGTGCGGCCGAATAGCGACCCCGCTGGAAATTCAAAGAAGCGAGTATGATTTTGGTACTTTATTTCTTCATTTTTTCCTTTCCAACACTTTGAATTCTTGTATGTGCGCGCATGTTGGCAGTTTGAATTTGTACTGAATGCGGGCTAGCTTCCAGCCCATGCACACACACCAACTTCTCTTCTTGCTCATCTCCTTCTTCACCACGCATCCCTTTGTCTTCCTCTGCCTTCCTGTTCGACGGATGATTAGTCGCGTTTCGAGTTGGTTGGATCAAGCCGTAAGAGTGAAAGCTCGCGTGAGGCTCAGATGGTCGGTCCAACTTCCATGAACATTTCCATCATCCCACCCTTTGGAGATTGCCCCCGTCTAGAAGCTTCATTTTCCTTCACCCCTTACGTAGTCTACTTCTTTCCGCTTTCTGTGCCGACAACCCGCCACCTTTTTTGGCATAAATTTGCCCAGCAGCCCTTCATCCCCTCCTCTTTGGTCTCAGCTGCAATGTTGCGAGGACTATGCCTGAAGATGGAAGCGCTGAAGAGGCTCGGCGTGCCGAAGACGGCATGGGGTGAGTCTAGGGATAGTATCGGTAGATTGTAGCTGGAGGGACAGAGTAGTGGTGGAGGATTGGTGTGAGATTAAAGGGTGCAGCCAGGCGTAGAGCCCAGGTGGCCCATCTGGYGCACACCTTGTAATTGGTGATTGSTGGACCGTGCAAGTGTGGGGACYGTTGTTTTCATGTTTTAGTAAAGTTGCAGGACAMTTTTTGCTTTTCTTCATCGCTGATTGTCGGGATATCAAGTGCATGCTTGAAGGCTATGTCGTGTGCATGGCGTTGGTTGTGAGTGCTGAGTGAGTGTGTACGTAACAAACACCAAGACACAGAGGGCAGTCATAGTCGACGCGGATGTGGATGATTATGTGTGATGCTCTTACTACATTTGCATGAGTCAATGGTGGTGGATGTGTGC